GACATAAATATTGTCGAGAAAAAAAAAGGTGTGGATTATTGATGTCGCGATTCCTGGTGACAGCAGGGTTAATGATAAAGAACAAGTAAAATTACAAGATACATGGACTTGAAGATTGAACTCCAAAGATTGTGGCACAAACCAGCAGCAGTAGTACCAGTGATTATCGCTAGTACTGAATGCCGCTCCCAAAACCTGGGGCAGCAATTGAAGCAAATCAACATTGACAAAACTTACATCTGTCAACTTCAAAAAGCTGTGCTGCTTGGGTCTGCGAACATTCTAGGCTGTTAAATTATGACATCCTAGGTTCTTGGGAATAACCCGATGCGAATGTTAGTCAACACCAACATGTGATCTGTTTGTTGTGATTCATTAAATAGAAATAATAATAATAATAACTCTCCCGTGGTCACCACCTGGTCATGGTGGAGATCCCAGTAATTTTATTGATCCATATAGCAATGCAGGATGGAAACTGGTCTCTATTTTGGTGTTACTAACGTGAAAAAACCCGGAAAACGCTATGTGGTAGCCCATTAGCGAGGTGCTACCCACAACTAACTACCAGTGTTCAGTAGTTTTACCCATTTGGATAAAACTACTGAACACTGGTAGTAGAACATTGGTGATGCATTTGTACAGGGTAATTTCAAAATATGGTGACAAACTTCGGGTGGTGATACCTGTCCAGAAAAAAAAAACAAAAATGCTTCTATAAAATACGTTCGGAAACGCGTAGTTAACACACTAAAGGATTTATTTTATAGCATAAAATTACAGATGAATATGGTACATCTATCTGTCCAGTCTTAGCAGATGAGTATTTAAGCAAGTGTTGCGCACGTATCGTGGACTGACGCACTCTTTAATTAAAACGTTTCGGCTTTTATGCATTACAGATGGAATTCATACATGTTTATAGAAGCATTTTTGTTTCTTGTCTTGTCAGGAATCGCCACCTGAAGTTTGTCCTTATATTTTTGGTACCACTCTGTACACTGTATATGAAGTTGGGAAGATGAGGATATGAGTTTTATACAGAATGTCTTAAAAAAATCAGTTAACGAAAATAGTTTACAATATAGAATCAGATCTGGATTTAGTTTTCATCCAAATAGTGTCGTTGTCGCAAGACAGATACTGAAGATAATCTTCAGTATCTGCATGTTTGCATTATAAGTTATATCATCAATTGATATGACTTTCAACCTTTCAAATTCAAACTTATACAGGGTGATCATAATTAAAGTTGTCCTATTCAGAGGACTCTTTAGCTTCAATCAATAAGCCGATTGACACCAAAATTTGTGTATACGCTATTCAAAGGATGCGGAAAAAGATTTTGCAAGGAAAAATTTTAGTTACAAAATTGTCCACTATGTAGTAAATTGTACTGCAAGCAAAGAAATATGAGACGCGTAGTCAAATGGAATGCAGCCGAGACTGAGAATATAGATGCTGACAACTAGTGAATGCCATTTTTATTAGCTACATCTACGATGGCCATCACTTTGCCGGAGATTGCATTAATTAAGAAGTTGTTAATTAAATCAGGGTAATTGCGGCTGCGAATATCGTTGTCGATAACTTATTACCCAGAACCAAGGTCTCTAAAGGTTGTCGGGAAAATGATAACGCGATTTGAGACACTGGATCATTAGTTAAAGCTGGCAGGGAGAAAGCCTATCACTGCAGAAACCATTGAAGATGTAACTACGGCTTTTGTTGAACAGGCAATGGCACCAGTTTCCCTGCAGTGCCATTTACCCTATAGCAGACAATTTTGGAACTAAAATTTTTTCTTTGCAAAATTATTTTTTGCGTCCTTTGAATAGCGTGTACACAAATTTTGATGGCAGTCGACTTATTGGCTTCAGCTATAGGGTCCTCTGAATAGGACAACTTTAATTATGATCACCTAGTTTATAGTAATGAAGTCTAGTACAATTTCAATTGCTCAAGATTCTTCAGTTTAGAACCACGCTTCATTTAGTGCCAAGTTCAGAGATAGCATTAAATCAAAATTTGAACATATCTCGGTTAATATATCTTACAAGTTAGCTAAACAACTTTAGGGCCACTCAATATATATGAAAATTACGTTCATTTAGTGTATTCAATGCTTTAAATAGTCTGATCAATTGTGAGATTTCATTTTTTGTAGAAAAAAAGAATTTTGAAGGGAAATATAGAGCCTATGTGATTTTTCACACACAAAAAAATAAAGATTTTGATAAATTTCTGTAAATTTGTAATTGTTTGCAATATTACAAATAATGAAATTACATACATACATGTATGTATGCGTGTAGTGTGATGACTGAGGCGGTTAAGGCATAATCTACCGCTCTGGGACCATGGATTGAATTTAGGCGAGCGAAGAACCCCAGAAATTTTCATGGGCGGCATCGCCAGGATATACTAGGTCCCGTCCTTCATCATCTAATCGCTTCCATTGTAGGCCTGATCGAATCCATGAATGGCGTTAAAAAGATTTTCTTAACGTCCATAATGCGAAAACAGTCAAAACAGACTAATTATTTAATAGTAAAAATTATAAAAATTAATATTACCATACTTGTTTATAAAAATTAATATTACCATAAGAGACGCAAATGAAGCACTAAAAACAGAGAATATTAATATTTGATACAGTAAAATATACTAAATTTAATCTTAAACACGATAATCTTTATACTTCATAAGTTATTATTATAGTAACTAGGTGCTTCTCTGATATGAAAAGAATATTCTTTTCACAGAAGCACCGAATAGCATGAAAACTAAAATGAAATAAGCATTTACATTATCTGTTCCTCAAATTTACAATATATGGAAGGATATAGATTATTTGTAACTTATAATCTTTAATAAAATCTTTACAACGATAAATCAAGGATTGGCAAGATACGAATGATATCACTACTACAGTATAACTGTCAGTAGTCTGCAAGTAGAACGTTGAAAACATGCTGTAAAAACATACATTAATTCTTTTATGTCTTTATAATCAAATTATTATTTTTATTTTATTTTATTTTCTTACGTTTTACAAGTGAACTAAAATAAAACCGCTTCGATTAGTGTGAAAATTAGTGTTAATCAATGCCGAATCTGCACATAAGCTATACAAGCTTATGAGCTTGTATAGAGCTTATGAGCTTGAGGTTAGAGCTCTCGTTATGAGTCTATAGCTTATAAGGCCTAATAATTTTACATGTCTATCGTTATTTGATGAATGGAAAGGGCTTGTTAGATGTTTGTGAAAATTCGACTCTTTTACGAAGATTTTTGTTAAATACGTAACAAGTTATATTTCTTTCATCATCATTTTCGTTGTTTCTCCCGTTCTCACCCTAATATCCGAGGAATAGACCCCGGATAATGAACTGCGTAATTCGTCCGTCAAGAAGGTCATCCCTAGGACGAAGTCGTCCGAGGCGACCGCGGAAGAAATCCCCTCTCCCCGGGACATTTGTTTGTTTTGCTAATTGGTCACACCGCAGACACCTTGTAATAAAGTAGTCTCCTGCGGGTGTCCGGTGGACGGAGACGGATGGGTGTTCCTGTATGGAGAGTAGACAAGAGGTCACCTACAAGGGCACCCTGACGGTGAGAACATTACCAAAAATGGTCAGTCATCTCCCCAGGTGATGACGACTTTAACATTAATTGGTCTTGTCGTCACCCATGACGGGGGAGACTGTCATAAATCGGGAGAAGTGACAGTTTGCGTCAGAAGAATCCCCGAGATTTCCCACGCTAAAAAGGTATAAAAGGGGAATGATCGGAGATCTCGAGGCGATCATCGGGGAACGTGACCAACGAAGAAAGAAAACTACAAGCGTCTTCTCTGGAAGGACTTCAAGATTTCTGATCGCCGACCTAAAGAGGTAAATACTTAGATTGTTTTTACTTCACTCTCTCTCGGTATACTCGGGACTTAGAAAATATTGTCTCTCGGTATGCTCGGGACTTAGAAAATATTGTCTCTCGGAATACTCGAGACTTAGAAATTATTGTCCCTCGGTATGCTCGGGACTTAGAAAATATTGTCTCTCGGTATGCTCGGGACTTAAAAAAAATATTGTCTTTTACTGATATACCCGGAACTTTGTATTTATTTATCTGTTCCTTTGGATAGGACTTAGAATTATTTTGTGTTGAGGACCTTTGGTGGTCTCACTTACGGGATAGACGGTCTTCGTTGTTCGATATTGGCGCGACTCGGAACTTATTATGATTATCGCTTTCATATTGTTTAGAATTAATATGTAATCTTAATGTATTTGTATTTATATTTAAGTTTATATTAAATATGTTATTCCTAATTTAATGACTCTTGATAAGTACTATCGACATCTCATCATGACTTCGTTACGCCTCCCACTCCTTTTGCCCTCCTATAGCCACTCTCTGACAGCGAGCCGGTAAGTGGGAGAAACTCTTATCCTTTCCCCTCGGTTTGCACATATTGGTGTCATCCGACAAAACAAGCCATCCGACAACCGAGAGCGGGTCTTCCCGACCCGTGCAGATTAAGCGGTCATTAGGGTTCGACCCGGTGACCCCCTGCTACTCACATGTTAGTTTAGGGCCACAACAAGTTTAAGTTCAAGCCTTCTTATCGTATTTATCAGGTAGAGAACAATGTAAAGTTATAATAACATATCCAGAAAAAAAATTAAATAATTAATAAACATTTCTTTGTAGAAAAGGTTTGGCAGAATTACAATTTAATAAAAAGTAAAATACATCTGGATACGATTTCTACAAAGAAATATTATATTTTTAATTGTGTTGGGATTGTCACCTGTGGACATTTTAAACTGTTTTGCATATTTGTGAAGAGGCATAGCCTCTAAAGAAAGGTTGTCTCTGCAATGGAAATAGTTGTTCCTGATGATTGGACGTGGCAAGCAAAATTGGACTTGTATCAAGATGTATTTTACTTTTTATTAAATTAATAAACAATAATTTAGTAGAATAATTGTTATATTGTTTAAGTATTAAACAATAATATTATTAAGATTACATTTTTACAAACTGATATTAAACTGAAGATGAGCGATCAGAAAGGAAATAGATGGAAATCCCTCAGGAGCAAGACTCGAGATTTTCGTATGAAAAGACGTGAAGCAATAATAAATCCTCGAAAAGAAAAACAGGCAACTTTGCTTATGGAAAGAAGAGGCATTACTACTGATTACGATTCTTTTGAAATTATCAAGAGATTAGAAACGATAAAAGAAGACATCGCACTTAACCTAAGCACTGTCCACGATGAGTGCTGTCTGAAGATAATCCGAGAAATTCGAAAAGGCCTTGATATAAATCAAGAGTTAACTCTTGATTGCATAATCAATTCTGGAATCGTACCTATATGTGTACGATATCTGAATCATACAGATAAACCCGATCTAACTCTCATACCAGCTGAGATTTTAGTTTATTTATCTTCGTGTGAACTTCACCATACTAAAATGGTTGTTGAATCGGGTGCTCTGCCTGTTTTTATACGATGTTTATCTTCTATTTCGGATAATATACGTGAATTATCTCTTATGGCATTAGGAAATATTGTCTTAACATCATCTGATTTTGCAAACTTAGTAATTCAGAACGGAATTTTTCAACCACTTTTCGAATTAATTTCATTCAAATGTCCAACGCAAATACCAGTTTTGAAGCGTGCTCTATGGGTCCTTTCTTGTATCGTACGCATAAGTGAAGCCAGTCTTGTTTCAGAAAATAAACAACTCTTTTTCCCAGTTCTTTGTCAATTCTTGTTTTATGATGAACCAATCGTCGTCAGCCAATCTGCTTGGGCGCTTTCTTACTTGATAAAATCGGAACCTGATTTTATACAGAAAATAGCTAATTCCAGTGTCATCTTGCGCCTCAAACAACTTCTAAATCACCAGAGAGATGATATAATAATGCCAAGTTTGCGAGTGATTGGCAATATGGCCGCGAGTGACGATATTGCAACAGAGTCCATTCTCAACAACGATATTCTTCTTTGTTTCCATCATCTTCTAGAGCAAAGAAACTTTAAAATTCAGACAGAAGTGGCTTGGGTTCTGTCAAATATTACAGTAGGAACCACCGAACAGATCCAATACGTTCTGAATATTGGATTAATGGCACCCGTCAGACAGATCTTAACCATCGGAAATTACAAAGCTAGAGTCCAAGCGATGTGGGTCGTGGCCAACATAGTTTATAATAAATGCGAGACACAAGTCAAGTTTCTGATTGAAAAAGATGTTATACCCCCTTTATGTCATATGCTGTATGCATCCGATCCAGAAATTATCTCTAATATTCTGGACATTCTGAAAATTGTAGTGAAGGTAGCAGATATGGCTGAAATGGAAGAAAAGATTCGCATGATGATAGAAGAATCTAGCGGCTTCGAAATTATAGAAAAGCTGCAATATCACGAAAATCGCACCATTTCTAAACATTCTTCCGAACTGAGTGACATGCTACACTCAAAAAATCTTAATTATGCTTTAAAGAGCGAAGTCTTTTATTAACTCATTTTTCACAAATGAAAATGAACCAGTTTTCAATTAAGTGAAATTTAAAAATTTTGAGAGTTGGCCTGTTATATTAAATTCTACGTAAAAAATATAATTATGACTTGTTTATTTTCTCAGCTGTGTATATTGTATAACTTATTTATCCATCGCACCTACATTTATTTAATTTCAACTTCAATTCTTTTAAAATTATGAGATTTTCTCGGATAGATATTCTTTTTGTTTTTTTTTTTTAATTTTTAATTCTAATAATAGCCATCTTTTAAGAGGAATGATTATTAGACTTATTTTAAATTTTACCTGTTTGTGGCTCCGTTTTCCGTGCCTCAGATTGACCCAATTGCGAGGCAGACCCATCATTAATGGTCGTAACTGTGCTTATACGTAGGCTGTTTTTTTTTCAAGCTCCGATGGTCCATAAAACTAAGACAAGTATAAATAACAAATTGAATTTATTACAAAAGTTAGGTACGAAGATGGCTACTTTTCGACATAATTACCGTGAAGATTGGCATTTGTCATATATGTGGAAGAGCTTTGCAATCCCCTCTTCATAGAATGTTGCCACCAGTGACTTGCAATGAACCTTAACGTTGTTTTGAAGGTCGTCATTAGTCTCGAACCTCAGCCTTCCTAGCCACGTTTTCAGTTCAGGAAAGAGATGGAAGTCTTCCCACCTTTAATGTGTGAAGACTTCCACCTTTCAGACTTCCACCCAGCTTGGAACTTTTTAAACACTGAACGTATAGCCCAATTTAGCGCCGAGCGACTTCTACTTCTTTCCTGAACTGAAAATGTGGCTAGAAGGGTAGAGGTTCGAGACTAATGACGATCCAACGTCCAAGGTCCATCGGAAATCACTGGTGGCAACATTCTATGAAGAGAGGATTGCAAAGCTTGTCCACAGATATGACAAATGCCTCAATCTTCACGGTGATTATGTCGAAAGTAACCATGTTTGTACCTAACTTTTGGTAATAAATTCATTTTGTTACTTGCGCTTGTCTTTTTTTATGGACCATCGGAAGTTAAAAAAATCCGCTTTCGTATATCCTACAATATGCTGATACCTCGCGCTAATTAATCAATAAATTTGCATTTTACAAGATTTCTAGTAAAGTAATTATTATTAATTACATTTTTTTGATGTTAAACTGATAAATAAATTTAATATTTTCGATAAATTTTTATGTGTTTTGATAGTGGTCATAATATCTGAATTGTACAGATACACACGACTTACGTCTCACTTCAACTGATATTAATTTAATTTATTTATCTTCGTGCGAGCTTTATTATACTAAAATGGTTATGAAATTAGGAGCTGTGCTTCTTTAATTACGATGATTATCTTTTAGTTCCAATTAAAATTTTTAGCTACTTAGGCTAAATCAATATCTCGACAAAATTCTTTTCAAAATACTTGTAGTATGTTCCATCAAACCTTTACTTCTTATAATTGATTAAACGTTTACTGCCTTATCAAAGGAAACTGTAATTTATATTATTTCATGTTATATTTTTTACATAAAATACTGAATTTTGTGGTTGTTCTACATTCTGAACCAGACCATATCTTTTGAAAGGTTAAATTTTGAGAGTTTGTCGTGTGAAGGTCTGGGCTAAATGCTCCTACCAGTCCTTTCTATCTAGATCTGATACATTATATATTAGTTTATTTCATAAAGTAAATTCAATTATGTGCTTGATGACGTATTATAAATATTATTTATACATTTTAAAATATTTATCATTAATTAAAACAAATATTTAAGTAAACTTTTCAAACGTAAACGTATAAAATTGTTATCGAATTCTAGTTTATACTAGAAAAGAATGCCCAGCGTTGCCCGGAACTTAAGGAGGGGGTTGAGTTGTCCTCGTCAAGAGGCAGCGTATGTTTCCCGCAGAATGGCAGAGAGTAACTATGCAAAATTTAATGAAAATCAATCCTTCAAGGGTTTGGAGGATTGATTTTCATTAAATTTGTAAGGGGTAAAATCAGGGAAAGAAGTGAAAATTCGAGTTTTAAAGTAGTGTATATTTAAAGTAGTGTAAGATTGTAGAGAGTAACTATGCAAAATTTGTTCGGATCTCTGAATAGGTTTGAGAGTTTGGAGGTAGGGGATGAAATCAAACAACGACTAAGGGTTACGAGTTTTATAGTAGTCCATGTTCCCGTAGGGTACCGGAGAAACGTTTGCATCTTGGTTTAGAGTGGATGTTTTTCGTGGTAATTATGATTTTCTTTTGGGAATTTTATTGTCGATAAGGCATACTCCCACGCGCGTACAATCTGAAAAGTAACCAAAAGAACGCAATTTAAGTTGGTAGCCATCTCATAACATAAGACTAATTCTTATTTTTAAATAATGGTACGGAAGGCTTAATACTAAAATAATAAACACCTAAAAATGCTATAGTCCTACTTACGAAAGTTTAGTTTCATCTAAGAAAAGTCATTTCGCTGTTTATAGTTGTAAGTGTCTGAGATAAAAGTTTACAATTACTGTAATGGAAAGTTTCTGAAACTATAGTCCGTAACTAAACTCTCGAAAATGCGTAATGCGTAACTTGGGTCGTTGAACTGCCATAAAAATATTTCTATACTCTATAGAATTATAAAGGTTAAATATTAAATTTTATACAAAAAACAGATTCTATTATTGAAAACTATATATTTAAATTTATAGTTATTATAAGTATGTTCTCAAAGAGATGAATCGCGCGATGAGACGGCATTGTAAAAGCACAGTGAGAAAAGAACGAACTCTTCAGCCAGAAGAGTTACTTGACAGGAAACACGTCAGAGATGTCATGTAATCAAATGACGTCAAAGCTAAGTCATGTGATACTATTTGTACACATCCGCCGTCCAATGTGCTACTCGGCGATAAAAACAAGATTAGGCAATGGCGACTCCAACAGTATAGTCGGTAAGTAATCCGATGAGTTTTCATTTATATCTCGTTTTCTATGGGAACCCCAAAAATAACTGTTTAGGAGATGTGTTGTACTAGTGAGGTTTCTTAAGAAAGCATGCGTAATGTATTTATTCAAAACTTTTACACAACAACGAACATATAGACGATAAAATTATTCACAAAGCTTTCGTTCCAATCTCACTAACACATTGTTTGGAATAATAATGGTGGCTTAAGGTCACGTGATCACAAACTTTCAATAAAAAAGTTACTTATGTGGTCACTCTTTCATTACAGTCTCTCTAAAAAGGTAAGTCTGTAAGCGTAAGTTTATGATGGTGATAAAGTCTATTGTGTAACGCTTTTTTATTATTGCACATCTGGTTATAAAGAAAAAAAAAGAACCACACATTTTGTAAAAATCTAGAACGATTTAAAATTGGAGAATAATAATAAAACGTGTAGAAACCAAAGATAAAATTACTTTGAAAGCCCAGCAAGAATGAAGTTTTGTATGAAAAACATTTTACATGCAATTATTATCAAAGTAAATGCTTGTTACCTAAATATTCAGCTGTACTTACTTTCTGTGGAAAATTAATCACATGAAGTGTTATAGCTACAAGAAGATTCACTGGCTATACCAATGTTATTGTATTGATATATCAACGTCGTTATTTACACATAACAAAATTATCCTCGTTACAGTTAAAATTACAAATTTTTATTATTTAATAAAAATAAAGTATAAAACTTAGCTATTTTCATAATAAAACAACTGATTTTAATATTTATTATTAGAAATACTCGTATTTCTAATTTTTCCGTGTAAGTATTATATAAATTTAGTACGATCTATATAATTTATTTATATAGTATATTCATTCATTATTTATCAGATTTTGTATTTTACAGAAATTATAGGCACATAAGTTATTTTTACTTAAATATGCACTTTTTTAATACTCTAAATTTAATATCTACATTTATATACAGTGTACATTTTTTCAAAAATATTTTTATATCTTTACATCGACTAAATATGAACTGTTCACTGAAATTTTGAATTCTTAATCTGTTTTTACTTTTTATTTTGAGTTTCTATTGATTTATTCTTTTTCTGATTCCTGTCCCCATTTGTCGTACATCTCTCCTCGTTTTGAGTCTTCATTAGTCATTTTCCTTTCTGATTCTTGCCCCCATTTGTCGTACATCACTCCTCGTTTTGAGTCTTCATTAGTCATTTTCCTTTCTGATTCTTGCCCCCATTTGTCGTACATCACTCCTCGTTTTGAGTCTTCATTAGTCATTTTCCTTTCTGATTCTTGCCCCCATTTGTCGTACATCACTCCTCGTTTTGAGTCTTCATTAGTCATTT